GTGTGTGTGTGTGTGTGTGTGCGCGCACCCACGACTGAGTGTGTGTTACTGGGATGAGTGTGGATGGAGATACTGGGTTGCTTTTGCCTTTTGATTTTAAATGTTAAGGAATATGTCTGTACTGAGATTAAGAAGTCAGTGGCTTTTAATGTTTTTGTTTTCTCTCCTCATAGAATGTGATTGTTGACATGCACCGAAAAGATTTTTTGAACTATGGAGCTTCTTTCAAACAATTAATAAATTGCATTTTTGTTCTTGGCTGTAATGAATTTGGTTTGGTCATTTCTTAGTAGTAGACATCAGTAACCTGCAGTGTTATGTTTTTGGTTTTTTTGATAGAATGAAAAATAGTGTGCATGATATGTAGCAATTTGGATCACATAAAAACAAAATGCCCATGACAAATTATCAGAACGTAACCAGCCTGTATTCACCTTGCTTTATCTAAAATTACTCTTCTAAAACAAGTGGGTTAAAGAAGGATTGGGAAATGCAGTTTTAAGGAAGAACAACAACTATTTATTGCTAGTTACAAATATAGCAATTATGTTAGTTATTATGGCATTTATTAACTGAGGCAACAGAATATTTGTTCTTTTTAAAATATATTTGTCATTTATCCAAAAAAAGGAAAAAGAAAGACAGACCAAATGGTAAATTAAATATGGTGAAAAACTAGGAATTGTGACACCTGTACTGAACACGGTTCATTATATATATATATATATATATTTGTGTATGTTATAGATTTTAGCATGTTCCTGGAAATGGATATATTTCAATAACATATTTCACAACTAAGCTGATTTTTATGATTCTTTTTCCTGATGCTGTTCCACATTTGTCTGTTTGGGGGATCTGTAGAGGTTCTCCAGCATAGCAGATGTTTCTGGGGCTGGTGGACTAATCCAATGACTGTTTGCACTGCTTCCTTTTCCTTTCACACTTGACATGTCTTCATAAATTGGAGCTGTGATTTGACGCTCTGGCTCAGCATATGGCTTTTTCTGAGGATGAGTATTTTCACATTAGGAATGACACTGTATTGCTTATATGGTAAATGAAGTGTTCAGCTGTGGTGTTGGGGAACCTTACATAATGTGTCACAAATAGAGCGATGGCGGAGAGTAGGAGCAGACTCACTCCTACTGTGATGGTATAGATGAGCAGAGAATACCTCCTACAGGAGCACGACTCACCTGAAACAAACAGATTATGTGCTCAGATGTGGGCTTATTGTTCCATTGCTACTGCCAAACATATATAAGGGGTCATAACAAGGCAGCTCTAAAAAAAAGACAATAGTGTCATTATTTAGTTCAATAACAGTGTAAAGTTCATTTATTTTGAAACAAGTTGAATTCAGGCTTATAAGCAGACTTATAGAAGCCAAAATATGGTTGGGCTTGAGTTAGTTTAATGGGATAGTTCACCCAAAAATGAAAATGTTGTCATCTTTTACTCACCCTAATGTTGTTCTTCTAAACCTGTGTGAGATTCTTTCTTATGTTGAATATAAAAGAAGATATTTTGAAGAATGCTGGTAATCCCCATTGACCTCCATAGTAGCCTATTTCTTTCCCTACTATGGAAGTCAATGGGGACCAACAACTGTTTGGGTCTTCAAAATATCTTCTGTTGTGTTCAACATAAGAAAGAAACTCACACCGGTTTGGAATGACATGAGGGTGAGTAAATGATGACAGTTTTCATTTTTTGGGTGAACTACTTTTAATGTTGTTTCAGTATTGGTCTCTCACCTGATGGTGTCAGCGTGATATCGATAATATCACTGAACGTGTACTTACTAAACCATCTATTCTGGCTCCTCGTTGCCTCAGTTACTCAAAGTGTGGAGAATCAAACGGACATAATTGAAAATCGTGCAAAATATGGAAGGTTTATATATTCTGACACTTAGTACATTTACTTTACTGTTATCTGTATCCCTACTGTATCTCTAAAGATAATTCACGCTTTTGTAGACCTATAGGTCAACGCATTCACCAACCTGCCGCTTTTACCAGCAAAAAGAGAGTGGTGTTCGCCGAGAGCGGATTTGATGGATCTCCTGAGAAATCGCAGACATAAAGCCCCGTGTCTGTGGCTCTTAAATGAGAAAGAGTCAGAGTAACTGTGCGTAAATTCAGCTGTCCGGAGATATTGATTCGTCCCTCGGTCTCTGGATCTGCTCTCACGACTTCATCTTCATAGATGTTCAGCACACTTTCTGAATGAGCAAACCTTCGTCTCGGGTGCAGAAGCGATGGCCGGGGTTCACTGGCTTCTGCAACACAATCTATGGCCACCGATTCACCCTCCAGCCTTCGGATGTAATGAAAATCTTCAGATGCTGAAATGTCAAGTAAAAAAATAAATTTAAAAAAATCACGTATCATTGAATCTGATTGGTCATTTTTGAGCGAGATGCTAATGGTCTAAAGAGTTTCTATATTTTTCCTATTTAAAACTTGTCTCTTCTGTAGTTACATTGTGTACTAAGACCGACGGAAAATGAAAAGTTGCGATTTTCTAGGCCCATATGGCTAGGAACTATACTCTCATTCCGGCGTAATAATCAAGGAACTTTGCTGCCATATGTTTTGGGATTGCCCTGAAGTTAATCATTTCTGGAAACAGGCATCTAAGACTCTGAAGGACATACTGGAAGTTGATATATCATGCTGCCCTAAGCTTTTGCTTTTAAATGATGACTCATCTTTCGGTTTCTCTCGGTCTCAGAAAAAATTGTTATTCTCTGGATTAACTGCAGCAAAGTTCCTTGATTATTACGCTGGAATGAGAGTATAGTTCCTAGCCATATCGGCCTAGAAAATCGCAACTTTTCATTTTCTGTCGGTCTTAGTACACGATGTAACTACAGAAGAGTCAAGTTTTAAATAGGAAAAATATAGAAACTCTTTGGTAATTTTTGAGCGAGATGCTAACGGTCTAATCAGATTCAATGATCTACGCTAAGCTGCAGCTAAAAGAGCTACCGCCAGACCCGGAGATCGGCTGAATGGATTCGAAAACGGTAAAACTCAACTGTTTAACTCTAGGGGAGTTGGAAAATGAGCCTATGTTCAAAAATAGTGGAGTGTTCCTTTAAGCATTTTTTTTATTCAGCTCAATACAGGTAAAATACATGGGTTCACTGTTACTGAGACGGCATATTTTTGTTAACACGTGTCTCAAGAATAACTTAAAATGGTCACATAGGCCTACAATAAAATAAAATACTTAAAATGTGTAATATAGCCTATGTAAAATATTAGGCCTACGCTTTTCCTGTTTAAAACTGTAAAAGCTGCTATGACAAACTGTATTGTATAAAGCACTAGCCTATAAATAAAGATTTATAGTTTATTTATATCTATACATTTATAAATGAAATTTATGAGGTCAGTTAAAATAAAATTTAATTGCGATACCCGAGACAATGACGTGGATTATTCAGATTCTGGCTTTTTTTCCCCTAGTAAATTGAACTGATACTAATACAGCATAAACACACAAAACATTCCTACAGTGTCCAGTTCAATGTGACTTACCTAAAGTCTGCTCCCATAAAATCCAGAGGAATACGCAGGCTCTCATGGTGCGCTTATTAAACGTTTTGAATAAATATCCAAGACAAGCGTGGCTTGTGCTGCACTTGCCATCATCACCCTTTTTATCTCCACAGAGCTCCACCCAATGCACAGGAAGTTCAGCAGACATGTCTGTATTTGTGTTTAGCGCTTAGTAATATATATATAACGTTCAGTATAAATGTTTCCGAATTTGCGTGCCAAATGATTTCCTTCTCTGAATTTATTTCCAGTCCTGGCATGCAACATGACTCCACACAACTGTGTGTGTGTGTGATTTATGACCAAATATAAAAAAAAATACACAGGTAATTTGGATTTATCTCAGCTTTTATTATTTTTAAACAGGACAAAAAGAAAAGGCAACTCAGTGCTGCACTCTAATGCAATGAATTAAAAAAAAATAAAACAATAGACAGATCATAGGCCATTTCAAACTCTGAAACAATTCAAAGAGAACAAGGACTACTGATTCACATACAAGTCGTAAACTTACCAGGCGACCAGGCAAAGAACTAGTTGACAGTGAACAGGAAAGCAATGATTCCTATCTCTACCCATCAACAGCAGGTAAACAGATTTATAAATCCAGAATAATTATACTTATAAAATCAAGAGTGAATGAATAGTAGCAATAGATAAAAGAAACATAACCACAAACTACTCAAAGAAAGTACTTTACAAAACACAAACCATCTTATTCATATGGTCAGCTAGATGCTAAATTAAACCTTGAAGCAGTTCTATGGATTGATATCAAAGCCAAACTGTGGACAGAAATCCATCAAATACAGCATTAGTGTCAATAAACATGCCAACCTTTTCCAAAACCAGTCGAATAGCTTGTTAAACAAAATCACACATTAATCCCCAGTGCTACTGCTCAACTGCGTCATTTATTATTATTAAACTTCTATAATGTATCAAAAGCACACTATATACACACACGCGCATATATATATATATATATATATCTTACCACATATAATACTCCGGATTTTCAACAATGCTCATGGAAAGAATCTGAGGCACACTGAATAATTTCACCTCATCTTTCAGTTTGTAAAAATAGTAAAGTAACAATAACATTTAAATATGATTGTTTAAGGTGGAAGAACTCTTCTTGTGTTTTATGAATGTAATTCTTGTGGGAGAGTTTAAAACCTCAGCTCCATGTAACTGCACAAAATCAGTTGGTTAGCACACAAAGTATAATGCTATAGCACGTTTATGAGCAAGGTGCTTTTTCTAGTTTGCATAACTGCTTTCATTGCAATTACTACATATCCATTTCCCATTTGTTTCTTACAAACGGAGAGAGGAGTCAAAATCAGTCTGTGGTAATCAACAGCATGCCATAGATGTGATTGAAAACAACTCAACAGATTACTTTAATAAACACTTCCGTTCAAAAGATTGAGGCTGGTAAGATTTTTTTAATCATACTGTATTTCAAAATACAGTAATAACAGCAATACTGTGAAATATTATTACAATTTAAAAGCAACTTTTCTGTGTGAACACGTTAAAATGTCATTTATTCCTGTGATGCAAAGCTGAATCTTTAGCATCATTTCTCCAGTCTTCATTGTCACACAATCCTTCAGAAATCATTCTAATACACTGATTTGATGCTCAGTTACTATTATGAATATTGAAAACAGTTGTGCTGCTTAATAACTTTGTGAAAACACAGACTTTTTCCCCCCCAGGATTCCTTGAACAGGTGGTAAAAAAAATAATTTAAAAAAACAGCATTTATTTGATATAGAAATCTAGTAACAACTGTATTTATGGTAACTTTTGATCAATTCAATGCATCTTTGCAACATACAAACCTTACTGACCTCAAACTTTTGAAGCACGTGTATCTATTTTTAACATGTTAGCTAAAACTACGAGTTAGTTAAGAGAACTCTGCTGATATTAATAAACCCGGGGGCCATCACCAAACTTGCTCTAAGTTTGGGGACATTTGTATCCAACAGCCAAACGGCTGTGAGGCCCCCTGAATACAGAGAGGAAAGAGAGAAAATGTGAGACTTGCCTCAGCCTGTGCAGGGCAACACTGAGACTCTGCCTCAGCCAGTCCCATGGCATTGCTACAAGGAGAAGAGAAATCCTCAGTTTAGGACAACAACCACAGTGAACTACAGTCACCTTCTTACCTGCCTCTTCCTGAAAACCACAAGTAATGAGCCTTAGCCTGGACAGAAATGATTCTCAGGTTATTTCAGTCTCTCAAGACTGTGATTTTCAGGAAACTGCTATCTGAATGGTTGTTTTTCTTTTTCTAGCAGCCATATGTCCTTGCATAAGAAGCTGAAAATTTAAAGGGGTCTTATACATGTCCACTACGTTATTTTTTCTCCCATCAAAAATAGTCATACTTTGTTTATTCCATGATCATTTATCACCGTGTCACTTTCTGTTGCAGCACAAACTCTTATATTGTTAGTTTGTCTGTTGTTCACTGACGTCAGAAGCTGTGAGATGTTATGATGATGGTCTTTTTGGACTGAGGAGGATGTTTTGTGCTGCAACAGTTACATCAAGTTGACATGGTGCTAAACTCATTTATCTCAAAAGATCAAGGAAAACTTGATTCCTCATGATTTGACCCCTTTAAATCCAAACTTTAATATGAAAGGACCATCAAACGTGGATGCAAATGCTTCAGTTTCCCTCTCACCCACAAACACGTCTCAGCACACTGCAATCACACAGCTTTCATACAAATAAACAACAGCCATCACGTTGAGCATTTGTAGTACAAACCTTGTGAGGTTGTCCTTTACTTGCTAATGAAAAAAACAGCCGTTAGATTTCAATAATTTATTACAATTAACAGAGGAACAGTACAGATAGCATTCACAGGAGTCTTATATTATTGGCCCTACAGAGAGAACACTGTAAATGTAGACAAGCAGACATAGAAAAATAAACCCAACAGTGACAACTATCTGAAGCCCTCACCAAGCAACGCTGGGGACGGGACGTCCAACAGCACCTATGGGTGCTGCGAAGGCTTCACACTTTTAGTACAGTAGTAGTATATTTACAGTGACTTGCCTTGTTAAAGGTGCTGTACGAAACTCCAGCCGCTTCAAATTAATACGAACCATATTTACTACACTTCACTTCTAAAAACCTAAACAAAACATGAGAAAAAAGCCAGACTGAATGATCTGCAACAAAGGGTAGGTCCAAATAATAGACTTGGTAAAATCAAATGTCCCATGCGTTACACAGTTTGATTACTCCATCTCCTCATTGCAAGAAGGGTTACGGTTACTGATCTGGCTTGTAAAGCACGCCACTAGATGGCAAAATGGTTGAATCACCAAACCTAATGAAGACCGGTGGTGACGCTTCAATATCGGCCTCCAGGAGACATTACAGGAGGTCTCATGCCAATGGCGGGCCGAGGGGCTCCCTGGTAGGGAGGGACCATGGGTGGGGCTTGTCCGTAAGGAGGCATTCCTCCTGGGACGTACCCAGGCACTCCCTGCAGCGGAGCACCGAATGGCCCTACATGAGAGGAAATTGATTAGCTGCATTTGAAACAGATTTTTTTTTTTTTTTATGGTTATCTTACGCTGTTATTCTTCATTAATATACACTACTGTTCAAAAGTTGGTTGGATGGTAAGACTGTTTCATTATTTTTTGAAAGAAAGGAGTCTCTTTTGCTCATCAAAGCTACGTTTATTTGATCAAAAATATAGCAACAACAGTAATATTGTGAAATATTATTACTATTTTAAAAAATCTGTTTTCTATTTTAGTATATTTTAAAATGTCATTTATTCCTGTGATGCAAAGCTGAATTTTCAGCATCATTACTCCAGTCTTCGGTGTCACATGATCCTTCAGAAATCAGTGTTAATTTTGACAGCAAATTTTGATTTAGTGTGTCTTTTGACGAAAATGCCATTTAGTTTTAGTCATATTTTAGCCTTTTGAATTGTTTTAGCTTTAGTCTAGTTTTGGTCGACTCGATATCATACAATTTTAGTTGACTAAATCAAAATGTTTTTTTTTTTTATTTCTGCATGAATGTTTCTGCAATATATGAGTGGCTTTGGAATATAAATCGCTGGACGTTTCAGATTAAAAAAAACACGACTTCTATTTCTGAAAATATCACAGTTAAGAGATTTATAACAGTGGTTCCCTGCATTATTACAGCAAATCGCGTGATTACAGTATACTAAGCCGCTGCAATGGAGCAGCTCTAATGCTATTAAATTAAAGATGATGTAGGCTACCATAGAGAGAAAAAAAATGAACAGTGAAAGTAACAAACTTGTTTTTATGGTTTTAGTTTTAACTATAAAAACCTGATACTAGTCAAATTTATTAAATAATATTTTGAATAATGTTCTTAGTCTGTTCATCCTGTGATGGGGAATCCCAGACAGAAGCTACAATAGTTGTTAATTAAATGGAAATGAAATTAAATACAATTTATGTACCCAAAATATGAATAATGACCAGCAAAAAAGCTTGAAATGCACCATGACTCTTATTTTGATATGTCTACACAGTGGACTGTACAGTAGTAGGCTGCTCATTCAAGTTCAGATGAGGGAAATAAAATATGCATTCTTACAACCATCTAAAACATTACCATATAAACATTGTATAGTAAATATTGTCATAATTCATCAACATTAGTTCATAAGCAATTGCTAGGCATAAATGTGTGCTATTCATTGATTACAACCCGCACTGAAGCAGTCTGAAGCGCTTCTTAATTATGACAAAAATAATTCATCAACGAAATTAACACCGTTCAGAAATCATTATAATATGCTGATTTGCTGCTCAAGAAACATTTCTTATGTTGAAAACAGTTGTGCCGTTTAATGTTTTAATGGAAATTGTCTTTTTTCAGGATTCTTTGATGAATAGAAAGTTCAATCGAACAGCATTTATTTGAAATAATAACGTCAATGTATTTACTCTCTCACCTTTGATCAATTTAATTGCATCCTTGCTGAATGTAAGTGTTGAAAATCTCACTGCCCTCAAATTTTTAAACAGTAGTGTAACAAGACTTTCCCTGTCTTATTTTGAAATACAGGGGGCATTCCAAAAGTCTGAAAGCCCTCAAATGCACCCTACCTTGCATGGGATGCCTAACACCCGGCTGCTGTGCAGGAATGCCCTGCAGAGGGGGCAACACCCCCCCCATCGGTGCAACTGGTGGGGAAGTCACGTGGGCCTGTCCTGCACTAGGGACTTTACACTGGTAGCAAGGCAGCTGTGCTCGCAACTCCTCCTGTCAAACACATAACGCAAAACGCACAAGCTGGTAAGACATAAATACGGGCTTTTTTGCTTGCTTTATTTCTTCTGTGGAACAAAGGATTTTGTGACGTCAGTGTGATCTAGTGTTGTTTTAGTGGCATTGACTTTCAATGTATGGAAAAAAGCATTATTCAAATGTATGTTCCGCAGAAGAAAAGTCTCAGGTTTGGAACAAGACAGTCTGGAATAATCAAACAGGTGTTTTATCAAATGAAAGCATGCACCGTTCCAAAGCTGACCAGTTATTCCTGCAAAGGTTAAAGATCAAAGCACAGAAACAAGTTCACTTACCAGTGATATATCTTCATCAGGGTGGATCAACTTACTGGTTGCACTGGTGGTGGTGAGGGTGGCAGGCTTACTTGTGACTGTAGTGCCAGGTTTGGCCACAGTGCTGCTCGTGTTGGCCGCAGCAGTGGCGGAGGACTGGGTGTAAGCTGGGAATGTTGGTTTGGGAGCAGCAGAAGGTGGTGCAGAGGAGCTCACCGCTACACCAGAACCAGCCTGCTGGACCTGCAGAGAGAGACCAATTAGACACATTCAGTGATTCAACTAATTCTGGCCAATAAACCACTTGATTTGATGTTTTGTTATTTACTTTATCTAGAAATAAAGAACAAGCACATTTTTCAGGCAAACATTTGAGATGCACGATGTATATGGTATAAATCAGTTACTGGCCAATATTAAAATATTGATTCGTGCATACTAATTATTACCAGTGCTGGCCAACACTCACTTAAAGTCAACATTTAAAAACACTAATAATTTCATAACACTATACATTACATACAGTACATTCTAATAGTGTGATGTAAATTCACATGTAGCATTAAAAACTATTGATTTCAGTTATTAGCTTTTTTTATTTCTTTTTTTTTTTTAAACAGCTTGGAATTACTATCAGCCATAACATTCAGTCTGATCAGAATTATAATTTTAACATCAGTGCATCCCCAACAAAGGCTTTAGGTTGATCATGATCAAGTGTCCAAATACTTTTTTGGGGGCCTACATACAGTGACAACGTGATTATGAAGGTGGATTTTACACAACTAAAAACCAGAAGAGAGAGAAACAGACTGAGTTTAAATAAGATAATTAAGCAGTCTGTCATTTCTCAGCCTCAATTGAAATTAATCTCGTTTGAAGCACTACAGATGTCCTCTAGAGCAAAGTCAATTATTCTAACAGGCAGTCTGAGGTCTGTCTGCTGTTACATGCCATCAATAGTTTTATGAAGCAGCTCTTTCACTGAGTCAGCAAGCTACTGCATACTTGGGACAGCGGTTTAGAGGATGCTGACAAACTGTCCAGACTGGAGGAGCCTGAGCTTGTGCTTGGAGCTCGAGTCCCCATCTGCAGCATGGAGAGAGAGCACACAATAAAGACCCTCAGCTGTTTGATTCTGGACATGACTGCTGCTCACCAAAACTATCATCAACACACTTAACACTGAACCTCAGTTTGTTTAAAATGATGCTCTCAAATAGGGATATGCCGGTATCAAATTTTCATGTTGCGATTAATTGCTAATGCTTTTATCACGGTATAATCACGATGTTGAAATTTAGTTTAAAAAAGTGCTGTCATAATACAGTATAACAGGTTTAATAACATTTTTCTTATAACAAAAATATCTGAACATTTAAATGCAATAAAGCAATACAGAAATATAAGGGTTTACTCTTAGTTTTTTCTGTAATTTAATTACAGTTACTTCTGATGTAAAATTCGGAATAATTTGTAATATATAATTATTCACGGTATTTAGAAGTGCCCACGATAACAATATCGTGCATATTCATTCCCGTGATATATCGCATTACCGAATACCAGCACAAGTCTACTCTCAAACTACCAGCTCTAAGGTTTGTTTTAATGGATCCTCACGTGTTAAAAGTTAATCCATTAATACAGCCCACAATTCAGTTTTCATAAGCTGGTTTCATTGGTCTCATTGGTCTTCATAGGGTTTAACAGAGTTTTTTAACTGCTGGTCCAGTCAGGATAGTAGTTCATTTTTATTTTTTTTTGTCTGTCAACATTTTCATTGGTCCAACATAAACAATAATCAATTTCATTTAAAAAAATATAAATAAAGCAGCACTTTATATATGCATCAGACATTCAATGGTTTTTAACAAAATAATTAATACACTTATGGGAAACCAATGGCTTGGATAATTTGAACTTAAAACCTCTGTATTAGGAGCACATCTGCAAACCTGAAAGCATCACTGTCAGTGGCATGAAGTGACAACAATAGGTTCCTTTACATGCATTAATTATTATCATCAATCTAATTTCTGATTCTGAATGTTCTTTTTATTTGAACACTAACGTTTTCAATCTGACTTACATTTACATTTACATGTGCATTTATGTACTAAAACAAAACTTGCTATGCTATAATGTCACCAGAGCTGTGAGTATAATAGGGTTGTGACGGTGAGGAAATTTTCCCACCGGTTAATCGACGTGTGACAACACCGGTAATACCGGTATCACCGCGGGGGCGTTCCCTCTTTTCCTCGCATTCCTTCTCTTTTAAATAGCTTGTAAAAGTGGTGTGCACATTTTACTTTCACTTTCAAATAGCGGCAATTCAGAGTAAAGCAATTGTTCATTTTTAGTTTGTTTGAATTTTCCCTCTTTTCCTCGCTTTCCTTCGCTTTTAAATAGCTTAAAAGCACCGTGCGCATTTTACTTTCACTTTCGAATCAGCGGCAGTTAGGCGTCAATTGCTTGAATGAAACAACAAAATACAACATCAAACTCACTTTAGCGTATATATAAAACCAAGCCTAGAGTATAACCGTTGTTTCTGCTTTAATGACATACGAAAAGGAAAGCTGACAAATATGTCAGAAGAGCTTAGCTTTAGCAAATATTTAGTAAATATTCTCCTCCATTGACGAGTTCATAAGACATAAATAAACGTGCATGTTCATAAGTAGTAACACGCATGTAAACAGAGATCTTATTATGAAAGGGCTCTGGTAAACATACACATAATGGCACTTATGCATTCAGGTATTTTGAATCTGTTTGAGGAGACATATTCATATTCAAACATTCGGTGTTTTTTTCCTGTTTTTTTTTTTATTATTATTTCAGGTCTTCACTGAACTTCACTTCCCTACTCTCTCTTCCTAACCAAATAATTGTTGTTTAGTGAACAAAAATCTCATAGCAAAGAAAAATACTGTATGGCCAGAGTGTAATCAGTCCCTGAATGTGATGTAATAAGAAATATAAACCATTTAAATTTACTTCCGATGCCTTTCAAAAATGATTTTTTGAAGTTGTAAATCCAACAAAAATAACATTTTACAAGATAATACTTTTTCAGTCTTCCCATTTCAAAATGCAACATTTAATTCAATGTGTTACTTGCCATTTCTTTGTTATTTGTGTAAATTGTAAATTGTATATTTACTAGCAATTTCTTAGTGGCAAAAAGTTCATATGCCAAGTTGTTTAACGTAGCATCATACCTGTCCTGCACTGGGAAACAGTGGTTTGGAGACACTCGGCTGTGACGTGGGCACTGTTGTGGCAGGCACAGCCGGCCGAATGGTAGGAGGGGCCTGAGCCATGTGGGGTATGCCAGGGTGATGACCCATGGGAGGAGGTATTCCTGAGCAAAACAATGACATAATTATGAACAAATATTAAAGAAAGATAAAGAAATAAATATTGGTTTCATATATGTAATGAGATGGAAGGTTCCTTTACCTGGTGGCATGCCTGGCATCATTGGGGGCATTCCATGTGTAGGTGGCATCATCCTACTCATTGGCATCATGCTATTAGTTAAAAACAACAGGAAGGAAATTTTTTATGCAATAAGCATGGATTAATCACAAAACATTAACAAATAAAACTATTCCAATTCTATTAACTTCTACCCTGGAGGCATCCCGTGCATGACAGGAGGCATCCCTGGCATCATCGGGGGGACACCAGGCATCATTGGGGGCATTCCTTTGAGAGAAACCATTTAAGCGACACATAATAAATATACTATGCATAACATCTTAAACGGGGTGTTTTGTACTATTACAAAGCACACCTGAGTAGCTTCCAGGTGGCATCCCTGGTGCTGGGACAGTGGCCATTCCTGGCTGGGTCATAGGGGCATAGGCTGCCTGAGGCTGTACGGTTGTTGCTGGTTGCTGGAAGGAGGTACCAGCCTCTTCATCTGAGTCATCTTCATCAGAGTCATCTTGCTGTTTTTTCTTCTGATTTTCTGTTTCCAAAAAAGGAGAATATAGTTACTATGGGTTTACTTGGGCTACAAAAAGAACAGGGCTGCGTTTCCCAAAAGCATCGTAAGCCTAAGTTGATCGTAGTTCCACTGGTTTCAATGGGTCTACGAAATACTTAAGCTTACGATGCTTTTGGGAAACGCAGCCCAGATGAGTAAATAGGAATTTAAATGTTCTACCCTGTGTTTTTTGTTCAAGCACACGTCTCCTCTCCTCCATGTCTTTCTCTGGAATACCCTCCATTCCATAAATCTCCAGCTCTATGTCAATCCTTCCCGGTATTGCATTAGGGACACCATCAATGGTTTCTTTGTGAACCTTAAATCAAACAAAAACAGATTTGAACATACGGCAAATAAAACATACATACACACATATACATACATAATATGACACAAGATAGTTATAGAAGTTTACAGAACTGACTCAGCAACAGCTGAGTAAAACTGTTTCATCTGAGCATGTGGCACTTTAAGCACTATCTTAACACATAACGAATATCGCATTATTTAATGAGTTATCGCATATCGCATTTTTCTTTAATATCGCACAGCCCTAATATATATACACACACACACACACACAGTATATAAAATAACTACATACCTGCATACAGTGGATGGCCAGACCAGGACCAGTATATAACTTCTTGTGACATATATGACACTTAAAGTGCTTGGCCTTCTGATGCTGAACGAGAATCTTTTCATCATCAAAATCCCTGTTGCAGTACCTGAGTTTGCAGTTAAAGTCAAATAAACAAGAACAAAATCATAACAAAACACCAAGAACAGCAGAAGGGACATAAATTAACAACATTGTCAGCATAAGGATGCTTAAAACTTTAGTTTTTACACATTTCTTTCACTATTATACCCTTGTAATGTGGTTCTCAAACTTTGCCTCACCCCACCAAAAAAAATATTCAAAGGCCCCATGACATTTCCAGTTTTTAAAGGGATCCTATTATGCTCTTTTACAAAGTCTTGATTTTGTTTTGGGGGTGTACTAGAACAGGCTCTCATACTAGGTTGTTCGAAAAACACATTTCTTTTCACATATTTTACATTATTAAAACACCTCTCTCCCCAGTCTGGCATGAACGGCTCGAACAGTTCCTGTATCAAATGAAGGCCCGCCTTCTGAAATACGAAATGTGCTGTGATTGGTTAGCTGGGCCAGTGAGTGTTGTGATTGGTTAGCTGGGCCAGTGTGTGTTGCGATTGGCAGCACTCGGCGCCTGCTCGGGAAATGTCACGCCCCTTACCATAGCCGCCTGCCAGCTTTAGCACCCCTTTAACGATTTGCTGAACAAGGATTAAGAATAAGGATTTTTTTTCATAATCACAACTGCTACCTGAGAAATTTTTAGAGCAATTTGTATATTCAATAAAATTCTCAAAAAGTTTATTCATTACAATTTCACAAAATTACAAAAAGTTATTATTTTACGTCAATTCCTTTTAAAATTATGATGCATTAAAAAACGACACTGGGAATCGTGGTCCTGCAAAGAAAAAAAAACAGTTGTTAAGGAGGCGAGTTATTGAGTGGGAAATTTCTTTATTTTTATTTTTAACTACTGGATATTTGCTTGTTAAATGCTACCAATACAACGGTATATTTTGTTAGTGGAAGCGTGAAACTAATCCACATATATAGAGAGACAATAAAATAATTGTCACTTAAATCTGATTCATAAAGTAACAGGTCTTCTCTTCGCGAACGTTCAAACAGAACGCACATTCGAATGGTTCTATGATGTACAGAGAGGCAGCTCAGTATGTTGAGACGCGGCCTTGATATCAGAGAAACAATACATTAGCCATTCGTAAACAGGAAGTGGGCCAATCCGTACTAATAAACAATTCGAAAAATATTAAACAACGGTACGATCGCTTTTAAAGAAGGATACCAACACCAGGGCTTCATCTGCTTCTTCTTTTTTCTCCCCATGATTTATTTACCAGCCTATTCCGCGAACACCACACTGACTGACGCCTACCAAAACATTAGCAAAACTAAAATGGAGTAACGCTAAATAGGACATGACGACGGCTTTTTCCACGCACTGACACCGCATCACAAGGAATACCGCCACCAACTGGACAGGAGGTGCACAACTTGGAATCTGGTTGGTGTTTAAATGATAGCAAGTTAAAAAAAACAAAATAAGGAGGAGCTGAACACGCAGCGCCAGTGGTTTTTTTTGTGGGGTTTTTAATGGGGGGGGTAGAAAATGTTAAAGGGGTCATATGATGCTGCTAAAAAGAACATTATTTTGTGTATTTGGTGTAATGAAATGTGTTTATGCGGTTTAAAGTTAAAAAAACACATTATTTTCCACATACTGTACATTATTGTTTCTCCTCTATGCCCCGCCTTTCTGAAACGCGTCGATTTTTACAAAGCTCATCGGTCTGAAAAAGCGAGGTGTGCTGTGATTGGCCAGCTATCCAGTGCGTTGTGATTGGCCGAATACCTCAAGCGTGTGACGGAAATGTTACGCCCCTCACATACTGTTGATGCCGTGTCCGGCCGGAGCGACGAGACATAAACATTAAAACCCATTACAAACGAGGCATTTGTTGCATCCAGTGGGGACATGATTACAGATTATAATGACTTATACTGTCTTTTTACTCGTTGCGTTGCGTTGCATCGTGCCGCGTAAACATGAAACTCTGTCTGCATTTATGATCGGAGAAATTACAAACAACAAGTGCTACTCTACACTGCCCAAAAAAACTCACGTTTGAATCGTCAGTGGCAAATCCTTTAAATATAAAAAAACATACTTACAGTCTGTGAGTCAGAACAGACGCGAAAGAAGAAGAAGAAGAAGAAGAAAAATAAAATAAAATAGAAAAACTATTTTTAAAAAATTATTTACTTAATTCAGTCATTCATTCATTTATAATTCTTCATACCTGCACTATAATCCTTATTTCACTTTCCTTCATCATCACTTAGTCACCCTTTATCAAAATAGGAAGGATATAAAACTTAAATATATAGTTCTGAGTTGACCTCACCATTGTTTTATGGCATTATTTAATCAGTGCTATCTGTTTTAATAGCATTTTGATTGTGATGACATCATCTGAAAACAAATATTGTTTTAGATAAAGTCAAATATGAGTAAAATTGTATTATTTTATTTTGTTTGACCTACATTTTAACTTTAAAGCTCAGCATGTTTAATGTTTTATTAAAAACAAGCCTGATTTGAGAAAAACAGCAAGATAAATGGAAGTAAGATTTTTTTTATTTGGCAACCAAAGATTCACAGAATTATTATTTTTTTTATCATTAATAACCTTAAATGTATTTATTCTCTGTTATACTTTTTTTGTACACTACCATTGTATACGTTTGATTTCGTTTGATTTTCATTTATTTATTTTTAATGTTTTAATGAAGTCTCTCGTGCTAACCAAGGCTGCATTTATTAGATTAAAAAAAAAGCAAGCAGGGAATCATTTCCAGACTGGCTCAATAAAAACAGCATGCACATCTTATAAAGTGAATACAGCATGTCAAGGCACACTACTCTCAATGCAATGCATTCAAGCAAAAAAAAACAAAAAGTAAATTCAGTTCCAAAACACAATCTTCAGAGGTAATTATTTTTCTAAGATAAGTTATAAATACATATCTCAAATAACTACATTCAAACAGTATTTATACCTAAAATCATATTTCATATTCAAAATTAAAGGCAGGCATTTTTATATTCAGACTCAAATAAATCTGCATTAGATGCAACTACCCAGTTCAATTATTTGGGGGAAAAAAAAAAAAAATGTATAATGTGTTTCTGATAAACAGAGTCGGGTAACAGCAGTCATGATTTATGTTAAACACACATTTCTTGTCAGCTTTAAATATAACCGTGCTTTGCATATTTCTTATATGGATTAGAGCTTTCGAAACACATAAAACATGCAAATTGCGAAACCACTTAAATCACTGACATCATGCACTACCTGTGGCTCAAAAGCCCTTTGTGTATAGATTCATAAATTACTTTCAGACACATTTTTTAGCATTCACCACAGCACATTCCTTAATAAACACAAATAATAAACTCCCCTTTTGATCTAATACCCTTGTTGTTGCTCCATTTGCAAGTTGTTCAAGGCAGTTATTTATACCATTTACTTCATTTTAACACTAAATCCACTTTAACAATGAAGACTGAAATATCTGAAAAGGCTAAAACTGTAAAAAGGTAGCAAAGCAGCAGAGATGTCACAAAAGAACATCACAGGTCAGTTTAAGATATAAATTCAACAATCATTTGAAGAGTGCAAATCCTTTGATCATTAAAGTGTAGCAAATAGCATGCTTACCTCTCACGGACCTTTACAAAAATATATGAGCTGTACAACAGTGTAAATCCCTGCTGAAACATGCATGCTTTATAAATCATTCGGAAATGTTATGAAACCCATGCGTACATTAAAACACCTTCTTCAACATGTTGGTCAGTTTTAGGAGGGAAACTTTGGTTGTCATTTTAAAAAAAATAACTTTGTTAATCCTCCTACAAATACTGCAACATGTCACCATCACTCCCTGTCTTTAGGTATCTTTCTTTACACAATTACCCCACATTTATCACCACGGAAATAACATTACATTCCTTGTAAAATGAAGTACTATTCAATGGTGTTCACCTTTGCAGATAAGAAGTTGTTTATGTGAAACTGCAGGTAAATAGATGTAATTCAGTAAACCTGAGATCTCCAAGCTGCCAGTCACAGAGAAACACTCTGAACACAACCTTAGCCCAACATTATCCTTCCATCCTATTAAAGTATAAATTGCCATGGGAATGTGATTTGCGTACAATGTAGAGGTTTTTAGGTCATTCATTGGCTATGTCTTCTTCATTCTGTTGTCTAGGGGTCCTCTGTGCCTCCCTAAGGCTCTTTTTACGAGGTTCAGGAGTTTCATCGTCCTCTTTTTAATACAGGTTCTCTCTTTCTTTTTCACTCTGATTCTGTCTTAGTTTAAGATCCCACTCCCAGTGCTTTCTTCATATGCTCATAAACCACATAAGAGATGCTAACAGCAGGAATGACTTTGAGGAAATTGGGGGCAATGCCACGGTAAAGTCCAGGAACGCCTTCATGGGACACAATGTGCTTGAACTGGCCAACCATTGACAGCTGAGGAGCGCCATCTGCTGAGGCTTTTAGGAAGAAAGGAAGGAGGAGTGAGGTTAGAATTTCATTTTGTATGTGTGTGTGTATGTGTGTGTGTGTGTGTGTTTTCATTGTTGTGAACATATTGTGCTTCTTAAAGAATCACAAAATAAGCAGAATGATATGTAATAAGAATTATGTGAATCTGTTTCGTCTCGCTCACCCTGAGCCTGCATGTGTGTGCGGATTAAAGCCAGCGGGTAACTAGCCAGCTGCCCACATGTGCTGGACACAGTGCCACATCCAAGAAGCACCAGGACGCCAGGATCAGCCGAGCCCATGCAGTACCGCTGTAGCCAAGCGTTCTTTAGAGTCTGTTGAAATAACAGACAGAAAAGAGCAATATAGATAGATTTTAGATAAATCTTTTTCAAAATATACCAAAAATATATTGTTAATATAGATGTTACACCATATTTATTTTTGATACATTTTAGTTATTATATTTCCTCATATTTTTGGCAATTTTTAAGAAAATATTTTCAATCTAAAATATGTATATTGTCCAAAACACACACATATATATATCACATATATATCTATAAGATATTAAAGGTGATTTTCTCAATATTTTTTATTTTTTTGCACCCTCAGATTCCAGATTTTCAAATAGTTATATCTCAGCCAAATATTGTTCTATCCTAACAAACCATACATCAATGGAAAGCTGATTTATTCAGCTTTCAGATGATGTATACATCTCAATTTAAAAAAATTGACCCTTATGACTGGTTTTGTGGTCCAGGGTCCAAGATATATATATATCTTTCCTTTTAAAAATGCATTTTGTATTTACTCAAAATGTATTTTAAAATTGGAAATGTGTTTTTTTTTTGTAATATATTCTGGCATTTGAAGTGAAGATCTACACAAATATTCAATTTGACAGAAGTCATGCTGTGTACAATATACCATCTTTCAAAAGGGGTCAGTAATATTTTTCAGTGTTTTCGAAAGAAGTCTCTTATGCTCACCAAGGCTGTATTAAATATACATATAATATATAATATGTATTAAAAAATAAACAATATTGTGAACTATTATTACAATTTTATATTATTACTTTTTCCTTTTTTGTATATTTTACAGTAATGTTCTTTAGTATATTTAGTATATTACTTTAGTATACTTTAATTTATTTCATTTCATTGAATTCAGTGTCACATGATCCTTCAAAAATTCATTCTAATTTGCTGCCTTGTGCTGCTTAATATTTTTGTGGAAGCCATGGTACTTTTTTCAGGATTCTTTCATGAATAAAGTGCTCAAAAACAGCATTTATATCAATATAAATCTTTTGTAACATTATAACTGTATTTGCTTTCACTTTTAATCAATTCAATGTATCCTTGGCCAAATAAAATGACTGCTTTTTTTGCCACATGGGAAAGAATGAAATGGGGTTAACAGATTTGTCAAGACCATCACCTGAGAAGATCTGTGAGTTGTAAGAGGAGACCATAGAACACAACAACGTAAATACATAACATATCATTTAACCGACCATATCAACTGAGAACGATGAATTCCTAGAGCGTGACAGTGAAAGCAGGGATTCACAAACATTTAAATGTGTTAAAATACACACACAGCCTACCTCATACACAGCCAGATCGATGCCAGCATATGGGATGATGCCAAGTGTGTTGGGCACATAGCCTTTGTAGAACGCGCGCACTCCTTCTTTACGCAGTATCTGTTTGGCACAGTCTGCCATGCCAGAATATTGTCCTGTCTTCCGCAGGGTCAGACGCGTCTTCAACACCTGGGAAGCAAGGAGGAATAGAGTAACAATATACAGATTTTAAAAAATTAAGAGTATAGAGCAATGTACGTTTGGAGGTCACTGGTAACTTCAAGCTGCAGCAGCTCCTTCCAGCATAAATAAATGGAGGACTTGGCTTCCAAAATGTGATGCTGATCTGCCTCATTAAATACATATTAGAAGCCAGAAAAGAAGCTTGTTTTCTGCATTTAAACCTACCAGGAATAGAAAGACAATTTGTATGTGTCAACCAGGCCCAGTTCATTTTTGACTCTTTTTTGTGCATTTAGAACAACATGTGTTAACAGGCAAACAGCAATTAGGAACAACTTTTGTTAAACAACTTCCCGTTACATGACTCTCTGGTATTTCTACTTTACGTTAGCAGCTATGAGCATTACTTGAGATAACAGATACTTTTACAGCCAGACATTATATGAGCAAGATCACTAAAGGAATGTTCCAGGTCCAATACAAGATTTAATTTGATAATCCAAATCATCTTTCTAGACATCAATATTACTACATTATGCATATTATATTTAAGTATTGTAGTTATACTTTTTTTTAAAAAGTGTTTATTTTATTATTTATTACCTTGCCATTGTAAGTGTCTCACTCAACCTATTTTTTACCCATAAAAATGCAAAGCACAAGTTGAAATATTTTCTGTAGTAATCAACATTAGAAGAAACATAATGCACTTGGACATATGTTATACTATATTATATCTACACTACCATTGTATAAGTTTGATTTCGTTTGATTTTCATTTATTTATTTTTAATGTTTTAATGAAGTCTCTTGTGCTCACCAAGGCTGCATTTATTAGATCAAAAATACAGTAAAAACATGAATATTGTGAAAAATATTACAATTTAAAATAACTGTTTTCTATGTTTTAAAAATGTAATTTATTCATGTGATACAAAGCTGACGTTTCAGCAGTTATTACTCCAGTTTTCAGTGTCGCATGATCCTTCAGAAATATTTCTTATTATCAATGTTAAAAACAGTTGGGTTGTTTAATATTTTTGTCGACACCATGATCTATTGTTTTTATTTTTTATTCTTTGATGAACAGAAACTGCAAAAGAACTGTATTTATTTAAAATAGAAACCTTTATCTGGTTTACTGTACTAATGTCAATCTATAATTGTAATTAAAATGATCATTTATAGACATCAGTTTGACAGCTTATTCGGAAATTTTCCATGTCCATTTTCTAACTCTGGCACAGATCTTTCGGTTTATATCCATCTACTTTATACAATATCTGTAGAAGTGCTTATGATAAAAAAAGACGATAAGTACAGATCTAAGGCAACTGAATTCTTCAGGTCTTATCTTTATAGAGCTATTTAGTCATGACGTCAATGTGTAGGCCAACCCAGAATGCTAATTTGCCATGGATTCCCTCAGGAATTTCTAATGGGCTTTTAGAAAGCCAGTTTTCGATTTACAGTATGAATGGAATAAGGTCTGTGGTTACATTAGCTGAAAAGTGAAAGTCTGTTGATGTCTCTCACTTCCTCCTCCTCTCTCACCTCCATGGGGTAGATGATAGTCTGAGCTGTAGCTCCTGCCAGTGATCCAGCAATGAAGCGTTCCTGAACTCTTAGAGAGCCACCCTCCTTACTGCCTCTGATCAGCCATTTGATCTACACAAGACATTTATTATAGTTAACTTGCATTAGACAGTCTGCCACTCAGGCCTAGTTAAAAACAGAGTGGCTACTGGATTCTGCTTTGTTTACCTGCTCATATGCCATGAATTTGATAGCTGACTCCGGCGCAATTTTGAGGACATTGATGCCGTTGCCTCTCCAAAGGGACCTCAATCCTCCTTCCTGCACCATTCCCCGCAAGCCACCAAACAAACTCACACCACTGGAGCCATGGACCTGTTGAAAATCCACTTTCATTATGAGTATTGTACTTTTCGCAACAGAACTGCAAATGTAAGATTTATTTATTTCTGTTGAGTTTATTTGATACAACAATGACTGATAGAAACAATAAAGCTTCAATCAAATATTTTTAAGAGTTGACCGAACCTGAAGGAAAACTTTAAGACGGTCGAGAGGAGCAGTTCCCGTTCGCGATACGGCTCCTGCCATTGCCCCGGCCACTAGCTGTCTCCACACCACACCTGAACGCCGCTCTTTCTCTGAGAACTCATCCGGCACAGTCAGCTGCTCTCCAATGTCCAACATCTGAAACGCATACATTATAGACTCAATGGACAGGTAAAGTTTACATTCCTAAATTTCTATGAATATCAGGCCTACAATCTAATTTCTGAAAAGTGCTGGAAGTAGACCAGAGAGTGTTTCCAGTAGTGGGCGATGTCCTCCATGTTGTGCAAGGGGTTAAACAGGAAGTGGTCCCGCCACTCGTTCCAGTCAATGGTCATAGTGCCATCTCTGTCTATGCTGACACACAAAGGGAATATAAAATATATAGTTAAAACAAGTGTTTGTTTTCTATGCCCATTGAAACTATGTGTGACTCAACATGTGGGTGCTTCACAGCAACATCTCAAACTCCTTTGAAAGCACAGCCAGAGTGGGAGGTACGCGTGTAGGCTACATGACATTGATTAAGCACTAAAAAAAACAAAAAAACACAGTGTTTTGTGAAAAGCTGAAGTGCTCTAACCTCTGCAGGATTCTGGAGGCTTGCTCTGTGGATACATTCACTCCAAGGCTGCGCAAGGAGAGCTGAATTTCTCCAACATCTATGTGACCTAAAATCATAAAATACTCCAATGCTTATTCTGTACATGGGCAGCAAAGGATACACTATTGTTCAAAAGTTTAGGGTCACTACGTTTTTTTAATGTTTTTGATAGACGTCTCTTATGCTCCCCATGGTTGCATTTATTGAATGTAAACATTGTAAAATATTATTACTATTTAAAACAACTGTTTTCTACTTTAATATATTTTGAATGTAATTCATTCCTGTGATGCAAAGCTGAATTTTCAGCATCATTTCTCCAGTCCTCATTCATGTCACATACTCACATTATCCTCTAGAAATCTTTCTAATATGCTGATTTGCTGATAAAGAGACATTTCTTATTACTATCAATGTTAAAAACAGTTGTGCTGCTTAATATTTTTGTGGAAACCATTATACATTTTTTTGGGCTTCAATGATGAATAAAAAGTTCAAAAGAACAGCATTTATTTTCAAATAGAAGTCTTTTGTAACATTACAAAATTATAAATGTCTCTACTGCCCTTTTTGATCACTTCAATGCATCCATGCTAAATAAAAATATTAATTTCTCTAACAAAAGAAAACTTCCTGACCCCAAACTGAATGATAGTATGGCATATACTACAAGACAGAGAACCACAAAGGTTCTGATAATTCTAACAAACACTTTAAAAGCAATCATGCAAAGTGGAAATATGCATTTTCCAGGAACTATTGTGAGGTTGCAGTTACAGTGGTAAGATTATGATTTGTGAAAAGATCATCCAGACCATCGTTGTTGCGGTCCAGGCTGTGGAACATGAGTCTGAGCTCTCTCTCGTGTGTGCGCAGATACTGTGTGAACTCCTCAAAGTCCAGCTGGCCGTCATGATCGGTGTCACTCACACGTACAACCTAAGGGGTGGAGGAAGTGAAGAGTGCACGTTTAAGGGCACGAATGTGAGGGTTGGAGGAGTTATACGTGCACTTTATGTAACTGTAGCCATGTCTATGTAGAATGTGGAACAAAGAGAAACTAACAGAAAACAAAAAGGAGAGAGAGGAGGCATTGCTCTAAGCTTACAGATGCAAGGTTTCTGTTTGTGTGCAAAGCCCTGCCAGCAGTCTGCCGACTCCAATCGCAAACACATTGTGAACTAGAGCTAATCTCTCCTCTTGCATCACAGCACTTGACAAACAGTCACACAACCCAACAGCACAGACATACCACTGGCACATAGTGTCGCTCTCCCCAAGGAAACTTGGAGTCTCCAAGTTACGTTCATAATGGCACTTTCATGGTTTCATCCTTAGCTACCTGCTGAAGTAATCGTCACAACACAACATATGCACTGTCTTGTAAGCCGCTTCAGCAGGAAGGAGTATGTTTACAACATGACTAAAAATGTAAATGTCGTTAAACTGTTTTTTCGTGTGCTAACATGCTGCAAGTTAAAGAAAAATGTCTGTTAAATTGCATTATAGAATAATGCATAGAATAAGATATGGTCTCAATCATCATACTGTAAAATACTTTAGTATAGAGACCAATTCTCACTATTAACTAGTTGTTTATTAGCATGCCTATTATTAACATATTGGCTGTTTATTAGCATTTAAAGCACATATTCTGCATGACCACATTCTACATCCCTAATCCTACCCAATACCTAAACTTAACAACTACCATGCTAACTATTAATAAGCAGCAAATTAGGAGTTTACTGAGGAAAAAGTCATAGTTAATGGTTTGTTAATAGCGAGAATTGGACCTTAAAATAAAGTGTGTGACCGCATTATTTTATCACATTAACAAAAGAACATGCTGATAGATGTTAATTTAACTTTAATTAACATGCTCACAAAGTAAGTTATAAAAGCAGATGTAAAATAATTACACATGTATAGTGAAGGATGGAGTTCATATGATTAGCTCATTGGCTAAACCAGTGGTTCTCAAACTTTTTGACTGGAAGGCCAACACAATGTCCGAAGTGAGGCCCCTTAGGATAATTATGACAAAGCAGCTTGTTTTTTGTTAATATATTGCAGTAATGTGATTAATTAATTTAATACATTGATGATATATACGAAGATATATTTTGTGATGTCATAAGTTATATTCAGTTTTCAGCTGACGTCACATCTCACCCTGCGATACAACACTTTCCAGTCTCCCTACCCAAGCAACGAAATTAGACTTTTTAGTCTGGAGGTCTGTCAGTATTGCAGCGTGGATAGAGAAGTCTAACTCTTAAATAAATTACACGGGATCATTTGTCCTTGGTCGCAGACACGACAGTGTAAGTTTCACTCTTGCTAAGAGTAGGCATGACAAAAACCACACGGTTTATAAGTTCATGATGTGAAAATTCACCATGGTTTTATTATAGTAAAAGTGTAGTAACCATGTTTTTTGGCGCATTTATTACCATTTGTATAACCAGTTTTACTACAAAAACCATGGTTAAACTATGGTTAGTGTTGCAAGACCATGGTTAATTTGTGGTTACCATGATTTAACTATAATAACCATGTTTTTTGTTTTTGTTTTTTTTTGTAGTAAAACCATGGTTAATTTTCGTAAGGGGTGGTCTTACTTACCAAACATGAGACCTGATAGCCTATGTTAGGGTTTCATATGACTGCAATTCACCGCACATTAAAGCTCATCTCCCAGAAATCAACATGTTTATGGTGAACAACTACTATAACTTCCCAAAGTAAGCGACCCACCTCGTCCACCTCACTGCGACCGATCCCCCAGGCGGTCAATCTGGTGCGCAGCTCATTCACATCGACCCTGCCATCTTTATTTAGATCCAGCTGATCGAACAGCTCGGCCCATCGTTTCTCCTGCTCTGGATCGGACACCCCGTTATCTTGACAGCGAGCCCATGTCCAACACGAAGGAAACCGACTCCTCGCTTCGCCCATATGAAACAGTTCTCGGTGAATACGGGGCAGATTTGTCCTCGAGTCAGAGCAGGCAGAGCTGTATTAGGTAGAAGAACTGCATCCTACCTCCCAAAATACAGGTAGCCTACTTCTTCAGCAAAGACCACTTTGAGGATTTATGGATTGAGGTAAATAAAAACAGCTAAATCTATATATATAGCCTCGTTCACCTGTCAGAGTCCCGCCACAGCCTATGTTAAAAAAACGCGTTTAAACGGGCGCACCGGCGTTGCTCCACTGTAGCCTGTGCCGATTACGGCAGAGTTAATCCAGGAAGTATTAAACCTCTGCCCCTCTGGCTAGAATAATAATCCCCGTGTCTGTTCCACCGGTCCTCTCAAACCCAGCTCCATCAACTCAGACCACACGAAGAGCAAGCGCCGCATGCACCGGTTACCGCATCGCAGCGCGACGGAGATCTCCGCATCCAAACGCTCAGCTATCGCTCGCACTAGGTTTACGAGTCGCGTCTTTTGCTCATTTTTACCGTGGTGTGCAGGATGAGTGCCGTCGCCGCTGCACAGATTTTAAGGGAAGGGCTGGGTGTCCCAACTCTATTAAAGCGCCCCGAGGAGCGATATCGTGTCATGGATTGCCTGTTTACGAGCAGTGTGCAAATTATTCTCTGGCTTTTACGTCGGTCTGTTTTTATGGGTTCGTCTTGTACCCCTCGCACATTTCGCGAACGGTCAATTTAGATGTCTGTGATATTTAAAACTATATATAATTACAGTAGGCTATCTTGTTTAACCGAATGATAGGCTTTTCCTAAGGAAAAGCGCTTCAGCAGCGTGTTGCTATAGTAACCTCCTCAGGTGAAAGCGGTCTAGGGAGCGCCATAGTGAACGCGCGGAGATGATTCACTTTCAATCTTTATTACTTTTGAGATTTTCTAAAACCTTGTATTGTAAACACAGTTACAACGCTAAAATATTATACCTGTATCAAATATATGCAAAAAAAGCCCCCTTCACATCTATCCCTTGGTTGAAAACCTTTGTTGTCTCCCATTGTCTACTATTGTTCTTTCGATTAACCCTTATGAAAAGTAACCATGGTTTCACTACAAATTAAACCAAAAAAGAAAAACATGGTTACTGTAGTTAAACCATGGTAACCACAAATTAACCATGGTTTTGCTACACTAACTATAGTTTAACCATGGTACTAGTAGTACAAATTTGGTTATACAAATAGTAATCAATATGCCAAAAAACCTGGTTACTACACTTTTAATATAATTTTTGTAAGGGAACTGAGTGCATCATCCAAGTATTTCAAGTTCAATCTAATGATATCACTCAAAAAAAAACTGTAACCAAGTACATTTTCATACACAGAACAATTAGGCCTACAATTCCTTATTTATTGTCTTTTATCAGGTAAATAATTTAAAAGCACAGCACTTTGCTGAATAGGGTGTGCTTTGGGTGCAGGTGACATACACCCTCTGTAGTGTGATGCTGTGGGATGAATGGAAACTACTGAGTCAACACTTGCAGGATAGTGCAAGATTAGAGAGAACCCATTGAAGGATTTTGTTATGACGATAAATATGTCTCATGGTTTGCGTTGAATTTAAGGTCAACCTCAAACAAAGAAACGGACTGATATAAAATGAATTTAATTACATGTATTGGTTTTACGGAATTTGTGTTAACATACTGTTTTTTCTTATTAATGGTAAATATATTTACAGATAAAAATGTATGCATGATATAGTTACTGTATCCAATTATACTGAATTAATTCAATTATTTCTCATGTGCAACACAGAGAATAGGGTCTTTACCTGAGCCCCTTAAATTTCTGTCATAATTAACAGTGCAGTGTGAATGGCAAGGAGTCAATAGCTCTGCTTGTATTGCAGCTCTGTTCATTTACAGTAGTTTAAGCCACTAGACTACAAAAGACAACTCAAAAAACAGCCTACTCATGGTTTAAAAAAAACACATCAGAGAACTGAACTTCAAATCTTTGGCAGGAGCGATGAACCTGTCACCAGCAGCAGTGCTTTGATACGAAACAAAAGAAGGGGGTGTTTTTGTGCTGTGTATTTCTGAGCCATACTAAGCTCTCGTTTACAAACGTTTATTTGATTGGTGTTGAAAGGAGAAAGTACAAAGGTAGACAATCCCAGACGGTCATTCTTGGCACAGCCCACACACGGTTTTCTGGCTATGAAAAATGATTTCTCTCAATCACACTCCCGACTCCCACATAAAACCATCTAAAGGACTTTATTCTCCTGTTCAGTATTTTCTGATTTGTCATGGTTGCACCATCACAGCCATCTAAGGCATACCAGACAGAGCTCTCCACACTTCAGGTCACATTAATAGACAGAGGGACAAGAAACATGAAGTGTCCCATAGTGCTTTGCAGGCAAGCATGCAGAGATTATTTTGCCTGTTCTTTTTAGCATGTATCCAGGGCAACCTCCTCTGGCACTGAATATCACCACCTGTGAGCAGAGACACACGCAGACTGAACAAACACAGAGCAAATCAGTATTCATAAATGTGTGTTAATCATTCATAGTCAATTTATGTATCTTATCATAATAGTTATAAAATGAATTTGCTTCCAGTTCAATCCCTTTTTAGCAAACAAAAATTCAGTTAATGTTTACTAGTATGGTCCAGGGCTAATATGGTACAGATTTCCTGGTACAAGTAATCAATTTACATAATTTATATTTCTTAAATATTGTTAATATGTAACAGTTCAGGGATCCTGAGAGTTGTGTTTAAAATTATTGCTCAACAATAGCTTTATGGCAGAGACGAATTACTGCTGTTTACTGTGGTCAAAATTATGTCACTCTGTCACACATTCCTGGCCACGTTCAAAATAGGATGAAATGAAAATAATGGCTGCTTTGCATGCCTCACATCCACCTCTCAGGGCACATAGATCAGTTTGCTGCTTCATAATGCCTCTAAATTAGACAAATTGTTTAAAACCAAACTAAAAGTGATTATCAACAACCAGTAGATTTCTGCACTTGAGAATGGCGTTTCATTTTTTTCTAGCTAGTAATAGTTATTACACAAAAGGCCACAAGGGGGATCCAAGCTATAGACAGTATACTGATATTGTGACGTTGAAAACTGGCTGGAGGAAGAAAAAAAGCTTAAAGGGGTCATATGATGCTGCTAAAAAGAACATTATTTTGTGTATTTGGTGTAATGAAATGTGTTTATGCGGTTTAAAGTAAAAAAAACACATTATAAAGAGAAAGGAAAAAATGAAATAGCATCATATGACCCCTTTAAGCAATTTTCCATTAACAAACTTCAAGTATAATGTCACAGCTTATTAAAATATTTTAATTATTATTAAAAGTTTGAAGTCAGTTTTTAAGAAGAAATTAATACTTTACTAATACTAATAGGCTACATTAAATTGTTAAAAAAAGTCACAATAAAGACTTTCATAATGATATAAAAGATTTCTATTTCAAGTAAATGTTGTTCTTTTAACTTTCTATTCATCAAAGTATTCTGAAAATATATCACGGTTTCCACAAAATATTAAGCAGCACAACTGTTTTCAACATTGATGATAATAAGAACTCAGCAAATCATCATATTGTAATGATTTCTGAAGGATCATGTGACACTAAGACTGGAGTAATGATGCTGAAAATTCAGCTTTGACATCGCAGGAATAAAATATGTTTGAATATATATTAAAATAGACAGGTAATTAAACAATATTACTCAATATTTCTGTTTTTAATGTAGTTTTTTGATCAGATAAATGCAACCTTGGCAAGCACAAGGGACTTCTTTCAAAATCATTACTTTTTTTTACCAACCTCATAGCTTTAAACAGTATAATATAATATGTTTATTGTTAATTGCCAGTATTTTGATTGAAGATGCCTGCCAACTTGTGGTTGATCATATTCAACACAGATCCTTCAAGGACACAAACAGTAATACAACCTGGTTTTCATCTGCTTTTATAGTAAGACTGTGGAAACTAGAAGTTAAAATCAATGGTGTGTATTTGAAGACATAAAACACAGGGAACACGCTACATAAACAATTCTTTTAGAGCATAAAGTGTGGCTAATGGACCAGAGAGCAATGGAAAAGATAATGAATTGAGAAGAGAAAAAAAACCCCTCTTGATTATCAGCAGCGTGTTGCGCAGTGGCCTCAGCATGGGGTTCATCAGCAGACTGGATGGAGAAATTCTGCCTTTCATCCAAAGTGTTCTCTGAGGGGAGAGAGAAGATGAAACATGCCTAAGGGAGCCTGCGAGGCTGGGCTAATCTGGAGCATCAGTGAGGAAATTGAGGCCTGCTGATTACCATGCTGCTGCCTCTCTCTCATTATCTCCCTCCTCATTTAACAGCCCTCAGCCCTCAAAGCTCCTCAGCGTGAGTGGGTGAGATACTGTTTCAACTGCAGGCTCTCCACACTCTCTGTTCTCACAGCCCTCACATTTTATTATGCCAAGTGCACCCATAAAAGCTCAAATAGAGATCCAGTGCTTCTGGATTACAGGTTTTGGCGATTGAGGAAGCCACTTGATCTTATGTTTTTCATGGGGTAAAAGTGCGACTCTGAGACACGTATGTGTATTATCATATCAGTAAAGTCTACAAATGACCAGGAGGTGGCGGTAATGAACTGGAATTTCCTCACTTGGATGCGTCCGCTGGGGATTTCATTTATGAAAGGGAGGGCCAAGCACGAGACAAACCATTAAGTTGACTTATGACCTTCATTATTGACTTTATTATTTTGCATGCTGCTCCTGCGATCCATCAGCAACGCTTGGCTTCTTGCTTTGCTGCGTCTCCTGAAGTTACAATGGCTGTTTGGTACAAGACCACATGGATTTACAGCTCTGACCCACATCTACCACAGTCCAGTGCCTCAGGCAGGCACAGATGCTCCAAGATGCCCATCCAGAACGCACGCCAAAAGCTCGGGGAGAGAACGAGGGGAAAAGAGAGAGAACGAGAGGATGAAAGGGGTGGGAGTATGTGTGCTGGCCGTGACAAACAGGTGGTACCTTGGCTGTCAGGTAGTAGTGCGGTGTCTCCAGTCTGTTTAGTTTGGACAGCAGCCAGTTTAAATTCTCCTTTAGTGAGGGGTCCAAGTACGAGGCACATAGAAACAGGAAGAACAAAATGCCTGTCATATCATGAAAGCCAGCAAGAGCACATGTCGGTCGAAATCTGAGCAAACTCATCTACATCATTCCCTTATTAACCTTAATAGGATACAGTAATTCCATTTCTTTAACCAGCTAAAACTTCACACTTCACAAATCACAGCTTGCATATGTGACCCAGCCCAGTGAGGGATCAATAGCTAATTCACTTCCAGTCTTTGGAAATGTTGAATCTATAGCCAACTATAAATCAAACCTGAC